TCTCAGCATAGAGCTTGTCACAGGGCTCCATTTCACAAACTGTGAGATCATGACGTGAGCCGAAACCAAGAGTCAAATGCTTAACTGACTGAGCCACCCAGGTGCCCCTGTTAAATGTTTTTAATATCACACTTGTTTGTATTCATTCAGGATCTTCTCCACAGAAGAGTTTTGTTTTAGCAAACAAAGGTTTATCTTAAGCAGCTGTTATATTGGATTCTTTTAGTGATAATCTTTTTTAAAAATCTTCAGACTTTTTCATCTATAAGTAAATTATGATTACTAAAATGTGGAGCCATATTTACAGTGGAGTAAAGTGAATAAAATCTACTTATTAGGGAAATCTATCTTCATCTCATAAATGTTTTTTTATGAATTACATGGTTCTGCAATACAGAAGCATTTGTAAGTACAGATTCCCTGATAGTTGTCAGCATTATTTAAGAAAAGCTTAGAAATTGATTTCTTGAGTACATATGGAAGTATATTGGTGTTAGGGGCACCTGGGTGACTCAGTCAGTTAAGGGTCTGACTTCAGCTCAGGTTATGATCTTGCAGTCCATGAGTTCGAGCCCCATGTCTGGCTCTGTGCTGACCGCTGGCATCGTGGAGCCTGCTTCAATTCTGCATCTCCCTCTCTCTGCCCCACCCCCACTTGCATTCTCTCTCTCTCTCTCAAAAATAAACATTAATATTTTTTAAAAAGAAGTATACTATCAGATATTTTGTAGTTTCTGTAAATATTGTCCCTTTGTTATATCCCACTGGATCTGGTAAAAAAAAAAAAAACACAATAAATTTTAATAAAAAACATCAATGTGCCCTTCTCAAACATGTCCCTTCCTCTGGCTCACACACAGCTATATAATCTTTCTTTTATTTTTTTTTATTTATTTTTTTTAATGTTTATTCTTGAGAGAGAGAGGGAGAGAATGAGCAGGGAAGAAGGGCAGAAGAGGGAGACACAGAGTCTGAAACAGGCTCCAGGCTCTGAGGTGTCCGCACAGAGCCCGACTCAGGGGTTCACACTCACGAATCATGAGATCATGACCTGAGCCCAAGTCAGACGCTTAACCAACTGAGCCACCCAGGTGCCCCTACATAACCTTTCTTAATATAAAAAGTTTCTTACAGTTGTCCACTTAGAAAAGCTGTAATGTAACTCTTTGGATTAGTTACTGCGGTATTCTTAATGTTTCTTATTTCCTGCAGGTATTCTTGGCGTCACCAACTAAGGGAATTTAAAAATGAATATCGAGTTGTAGCACTTGATCTGAGAGGCTATGGAGAAACAGATGCTCCCATTCATCGAGAGAATTATAAATTGGACTGTCTAATTACAGATGTAAAGGATATTTTAGACTCTTTAGGTAGGTCAGTTAAAAAAAAAAACACAGTATTAATCCTTTTTAAGGGACTAACAGTCAACAAACTGAATTGGTAACCTCATGTCTTGGGAGGAAGCCTTTTCCATTTACCTGAGCTGTTGTCTGGATCCTGTCACCATGGTTTCGAGTGTACAGCTGAAAATATTTATAGAGGAAATTGAAAATAATACTATTATTTCAATATGGAATGACTATTCAGTCCACCAGCCAAGAATAACTTTAAAATTTGTTTTTAAAAATAGATCTAATGTATGCAATTTATTATTTTCAGAACTAATTATTAGAAATTTGATACTTGTACTCAGAAAATTTATTTCTTCAGAATCCACATCTAAATACTCATTTAAAAATGTTATACAGAAGCACTTGCACTGTCTTTCTTGTATTGATTAGCTAGTGCCACAATATTATTGTGTAACAAACATCCCAAACTCAGTGGCATATAGCCGTAGGCATTTATTCATATTCTTATGGATATACAAGTCAAGTGTAGGCTGGACCCCTGGGTCTTTGCCTCAAGTTACAGGTCTTGCTGGGACTGGCTTCTCCCTCTGAGTTGGACTGGAGCACAAGCTAAAGGGGAGTAGCTACCTGGTGGTAGCTCTTTCTCGCCTCCTGGCAATGGCAGAAATGGCAAGAGGATGAGCCCAGCTGCGGAAGCATATTTCAAGTTTCTGCTTGCAGCTTATTGGTCAAAGCAAATCATATGGCTGAGCCCAAAGTCAAGTCATATGCCCACCATACCACAGCAAATCACACGGCTAAGTCTCATATCAGAGGGGTCATAAAGGTATACTCCTTTTATGGCAGTGGGGAGAGGGGAGGAGTAAATACTTTTTAACAATAATTGAATCTACTACACCTCTTTTGACTAAAATCCAGCTGCTACCATGGTATGTTAATGGAGCCAATATAGTGAGAAAGCCATGAAATCAAATTAAAGCTCTTTCTACAGTAATCTAATGAGAGCATAGGTCAGGCCAATATTCTAAGAAGAAAAAAAATGAATGAGATCTGGGGGTGTCAATGCAGTGTTGTCATTTAGTCTGATTACAATAAAATAGACTCAAAGACATTGATTTCTGACAGCCATATTTCATTCATCTTTTGTGGTGATTCAGAGTTGGCCTAAATTCATCTTCATGCAATTTTCTAGGCAAATCAATGACATAATATAATCTTGCTTATGACCGAATTATGTGTAATCTTTACCATGGTTTCCCAAACTCAGTTTTGTGGGACAAGAGCTGGGCTAGCTGTTTCCGATTTTTTTTTTTCATATAGATTCCTGGGAGAGATTCTAAATCTGTAGGTCTAGAATGGAGGTTGGACATCCAAGTTTTCTAAAAAGCTACTTAAGGTGGTTCGTACATACAGATTTTGGAAACACCAAACTCAGTATCTGCACGAAGTGCCTAATTACAGTCGGGTTATGGGAAGATTATTTTCAGAAGTGTACCCATTTTACATGAGGTAATAATGCATCCACCTGTTTCTTTTCAAAGATGTCAACATTTTTTTCTCCATTACAGGATATAGCAAATGTGTTCTTATTGGCCACGACTGGGGGGGAATGATTGCTTGGCTAATTGCCATCTGTTATCCCGAAATGGTGATGAAGCTTATTGTTATTAACTTCCCTCATCCAAATGTATTTACAGGTGAGTTTAAATTTTCATTAAAACATATTTGTTAATGTGACAATTCACTATTGTCACTGACACTTTGGATTAAAAACAGCAAAATTTGAATATCAGTATTTTTTTCATTAAATGACTAAAATATGATATTAGCACATGACAATGTCAGATACCTTGGCTTTAAATATTCTTCAAGAGCCTGATAAATTGTAGCTTCATATTTGCTAGCATAATTTTATTTTAATTTTTTGAAGGACATTTTACTGCTAACTTGGAGAGGGATAAAGGGGAAAATGCAGTGACACTATTTTGACAGTAATGAATCTTGACAACCTAGACATAAATTCTCCTCTTGCCTGACTGCTTGGGCTATCAGGAATGACAGCATTCTTTAAAGCTGCAGTTCTCAAATTTTTGGTTTCAGGACTCCTTTATACTGTTAAAAATTATTAAAGACCCATTGAGTTTGTGTTTATATGGGTTACATATATAAATATTTACTATATTAGAAATTAAAAATGGGAAAAAATTTAAAATTCTTTATTAACTCATTAAAAAATAATAAATTCAGTACCTGTTAACATAAATAACATTTTAATGAAAACTAACTACATCTTCCAAAACACAATTTTAGTGAGAAGAATGTCATTGCTTTACATTTTTGCAAACCTCTTTAATTTTTGGCTTAATAGAAGACAGCTGGATTCTCACATCTGCTTCTGCATTCAATCTGTTGCAATATGTTGTTTTAATTGAAGTATATGAAGAAATCTGGCCTCACAGATTTGTAATTGGAAAAGGGACGAGTATTTTGATAGCCTTTTCAGATAACTGTGGATTTTCTTCTTTAATACTACACCAAACTCAAAAATTGGTGATTTCTTAAAGGTTAGTAACATTGTAGAATCCAATGTCACATTAATGAGATTTTCATACTGTTACATTAAAATCCATTAGTCTCTTTAGCACTTTGAATGGATATTTTACCCATGCATGATTTTGCATCATCATGCAGTGGGCGATATTGGTTCATTGAGTTATGCAGATCTTCCATAAGTTGACATATTTTGTAATATTATACCAAAGAACCCACATTCATTAATATCACCCCAATTTCATCAAAAAGTCATTGAGTATTGCAAAGCTGTCATGCTCACAGTAGCAAATAAATGGTTCCAAACTTCTAATTTTCATTTGAAAGCTTGAATTTGGTCATTGGCAACAAATACTGTTGATTGTTTTCCCTCAAGTGACAGGCTCATTTCATTCATTTTCAAGAGACTGTCAGATACTGAAGTCTGACTGATGATAATTTGTTAGTCATCCATTCATGTAAAAATGGTATTCCAGGGGCGCCTGGGTGGCGCAGTCGGTTAAGCGTCCGACTTCAGCCAGGTCACGATCTTGCGGTCCGTGAGTTCGAGCCCCGCGTCGGGCTCTGGGCTGATGGCTCAGAGCCTGGAGCCTGTTTCCGATTCTGTGTCTCCCTCTCTCTCTCTGCCCCTCCCCCATTCATGCTCTGTCTCTCTCTGTCCCAAAAATAAATAAACGTTGAAAAAAAAATGGTATTCCATAAAAAATGCAGCTAATTCAACTAATCAACGCAAAGAACTGCAGAAATGCTATCCCTGGAGACAACCATTGTATCTGGGTGTTCAACAGAACTGCTTTATGTGTTCTTTGTGTTTCATCTTGGTACTCGAAAGCTGTGTACACAAAAGTTGAAATTTAAAATTAGTAGTTTTTGCTATTTTATCTAGAACATTCCTAAGTGAAAATGGCACTTAACTTTATGTATTTCTGTATTTATTTGCTGCAAATGTGTGGTGGTGAAGAATACAATGACTACTCGTATTGTTCAGTGTCACTGCCGTGGTTTGTGCTCAGGCAGCAATGGCTTTATCTACCATTGCTTTGGTACCATGAGCACAAATCTCAACCAGATGAGAAAAGCTAATAATGTCTGAGTAGTGTAATGAATCTTGGGGCTTCCCAGAGGTCCACATGGACTATACTTTGAGAACCTCTGCTATAAAGGGAACTCTTAAAATCTTCAGAGTGTTCAAAGACCTGTGAACCATTACTAGGCACATTTTTATTTAGTTTTGGAAAAAATTATAATCTTGTCCTGTTTACCCTTGTCAAGTTTTCAGGTACAGCTTCAGGAGCTTCAGGTACTGCTGTTACCCTCAGCAGCCCACTAGGGAACAAAAAACTCAGAACAACATATATCTATGTTGGAAACATGACTACATAAAAGGGAAAAGGGAACATGAATGACTACTGCAATATTGTACAATATAAATGTAGGAGTTGATTTTTGGATATACCCAATTGTCCTATGTCTGTTGAGGTGACAGGATGGATGCTTAGGCTTCAAATATCAAACTGAGATGCACTAGACTGTTCTTAGTTGCATTAGGTAGCAGAAGTTGTGCTACCTGCTTAAGCCATTGATCGGGACCCTTGAATAAATGTTATTTTTGTGATGTTGCTGTATGGACAAGTTGTAATTGGTCACTTCAGCAAGAATATTCTTGGAATATTTCTGGAACTGTTTTATCAATAATAGGTTCAACCCTAGTCAGGTTAATACAAAGTCTTCAAGTAATATGCCTATATTTTCTGCTTAATTATAGTGATATCTCTTAATGCAGGGCTGAATAAATTTTGTTCGATGATGATTTTACAAAAAGTATAACATAACGATGCTCCACTTACCTGAGAATTATAGTTCTACAATTTCCAACCATGTTATTAAATGTAGTTACAAAATTAGAAATAAGAAAAAATTACCTGTATAGCAAAGAAAATTTTTAAAAAACAGTGCACAAGAAACAAGCATGCACACTTGATATGTATGATTACACTACTCTCCAGTTTAAAGATTCATTGTCTTCCCAAAGCACTTAAAGTCCATATCCTCTGGCCCTCCTTGACTGGACTTCTGCTTTGCTCTCTGATTCATCTCATGCCACCTCCTTCTCCTCATTCACTACACCATCCACACTGATGTTCTTTCTGCTTCTTGAATGTGCCAAGCGCAGGACCTTTCTGTGCCTGTTTGTTTGGTTTTTTTTTTTTGTTTTGTTTTGTTTTTAACATTTATTTATTATTGAGAGACAGAGACAGACTTTGAGCAGGGAAGAGGCAGAGAGAGAGGGAGACACAGAATCCGAAGCAGGCTTCAGGCTCTGACCGGTCAGCACAGAGCCCTACTGGGGGCTCAAACTCACAAACCAAGAGATCATGACCTGAGCCAAAGTCGGACGCTTAACCGACTGAGCCACCCAGGTGGCCCCTTGTGCCTGGGTTTTTTTTCCTAGATCTTTGCATGGCTGACTCCCTCCTACCCTTCAGGACTCAGTCCACACTTCGTATACCCAGAGAAGCCTATTCTAACCACTTCTGCTGAATAATAGTCTCTCCACATCACCCAATAATAATTCTCAATCAGATTACCTTCTTTTAATTTTCTTTATATTACTGTTGCTATCTAAAGTGATCTTTTTAAATATTGGTTATTTATTGTATAAATTCCTTATTAATGGGAACCTCTTCTGTCTTATTAACTGCTAAACCCCCTCACACACAGTAGATATTAAAATATTCCTTGAATGAAGGAATTTTCTAGATCCATAAATGAAATTATAGGAAACATGTTAGTTTCTGTTGAGGCCAAATTAATAAGGTATTCAAATCCACCTGTAAACAAAATCTTTTAAACAACAGAAAATTACCTCCCCATTTATCCCTAGGGAAAGTGTGAGGTCACTGATAATAACCTTGGAGAAAAGGCAATGTCATTTGGGTTTCCTGTTCCCTTCTGAGTCAAGACTTTATATAATGAAATTTTCTTTTTATTTAAAGTGCTATAAATTTTCTAAATACTAGAAATGTCCCTAATAAAATATAAGAACATAGAAATTGTTCCAAAGAGAAAAATACAGAAGGCTTATTTGTGGATTCTTTTATGGGATCATCTCAAAGGTGAAATTGCCTTGAAAAGAAGCTCTTTCAATAGTAAGTAATTTATACCCCTTGGATAAGGTCTAACATGGCATTTTAATTTCAGAATATATTTTACGACACCCTGCTCAGCTGTTCAAATCCAGCCATTATTACTTCTTCCAAATACCATGGTTCCCAGAATTTATGTTCTCAATAAATGATTTCAAGGTAAGTCAAACATGGTGATGGATGTTAACTAGATTTATTGTGGTGATCATTTTTGAAATTATACAAATATTTAATCATTATGTTGCACACCTGAAACTAATATAATGTTATGTGTCAATTATACCTCAATAATAAAGTTGAAAAACTGGAGTCCAAGAGGATGACATAGTTAGGAAGTTAAAAATAAAATAAAGATAGACAGCAGCACTAGAAAAAGAAGGAAAGAAAAGAAATAACTGGTCCTGTTTATGTCATTTGTTTAAAATAATCATTTATTGATTGTTATTTGCTGTCCACCATTAGGCTTTTCCTCTTATGCAAGTAAAAAAAAGGCAAGTCAAGCAAATAATGTATTACTCTTAATGAAAAATATTTTAAATTAAAGTCCATCCTTCAGAAAGAAAAATAGACAAATGCTAACATTTAATAAATGCTTCTAAGACCTCATCTATCAGCTTACTTATTTTTACAGTCTCTGTATATTTCAGTGCCTGGTTGTTGCTCAATTTTTGTTGAGAGCCTGTATCCCTATAGGCAAACCTCTTTTTAGAGAACATTCCATGGGGAGACAAGGGAATATGAATACCAGGTGAGAGAATTTGACACGGCAGAAGTCGAGGCCCTTGAGTGCAAACAAAACCCTGAAACAAAGTAAACATGAGGGTTTTGGTGTACCCTATACACCTACAACCAGGAGTCATATATTGTATCTATTTCTTGGAAGTTTATTGAATGCTTTTTGTGTACCTAACACGTATTAGATATTTAAGGAGGCTTAAAAAAGACAATATTGTTTTACCTGGAAAAACTTCTGCAGATAAGGACTTTTTAAAAACATAACTCCAATGCCATTATCAAACCTAACAAAATGAATACTTACTCCTTACTATCATTTAATACCTATTCAAATTTCCTTAACTGTCTCAATTATTTTTTTTTCCAATTTTGGACAACTTTATTTGGGGTACAAAAAAAATCTGCACAAAATTTAGACTGTGTTAAAATTTCCAACAAGAGATTTGCTAAATGAGAGCTTCATTTACTATTTAAGTATTAGTCTCTGGTACTATTAATCTTTGAACAGGTTATGATCAACTGTCTTTGTACACTTTGTTTGAATTAGGAGCCAAACAAGGTCCACACATTATATTTGATTGTTGTAGTTTTTTCAGTGTATAACAGTTCCTTCTTATTTTTTTTTTCCTTCTTATTTTTTTAACACTTTTTTTCCTGAAGAAATTTGGTCATTTGTCCTGGGGAATGATCCACATTTTGGATTTGGCTGACTACTTTATCATGGTGTTATTTAACTTTTTCTGCTAATTCTTATTTCTCATGCTTCATGGATGCTACTAATCTAGAGGCTTGGTTAAACTGAGTTTTCATTTGACAAGAATACTCGTAGGTGGTGCTGTGTATTTCCTAATGCATCACATCAGGGAAGCACATAAGGTCTAGTTGTTTCAGTTTTAGTAACACTAACAGTGACCAGTGGGCTCATGAGTTGTCAGCTTATCTAAATTTCCTAACACCTGCCACCAAATAATTTTAGCATATCTTGATCATCATTGCCCACATCCGTATTTCATTAGAATCTGCAAAATGGTGATTTTTCTATTTCTATCATCTTTTCCTGCTCTTATTAACTGGAATCCTTCCTTAAAGAAGAATGGTCCACATCTACTGTTTGGTTATTCTGAAATACAGTTCACACAAAAGTTCACACAAAAGAGTGGCAGGTCATTCTTTATCTTTATAAACAACTTCCAGAGCAATGACTCGGTGTCCTAGTAATTTCCAGTGATAACCAATGAAGTTTTCTTTTTTACTATATCATTAGGAGCTCATGAGTTTTAAAAAATATATTTGACATGTATCACTCAATTGCAGTCATTCTTTTTGATGCTCAGATTGTCTCATATTAGGCAATATGGCATAACAGGCAAGTGGAAACTCCTTCACGTTGGCTCCTATGTCCTTTTGACATAAATCCTTCAGTCAGTAATACCTTAGTTTCTTAATGTCCTAGGGTCATATTTTATTCCCTGCCCCAGATCTGGAATCAATCATTTATTGAAGGAACTCTGACTCCTATTAGTCGGAAATGGTCTGGGTGTCAAGGTGATCATTGTTACTGGGTTTTTATTGCTTCTACATCTTTCTGTTGGACAGAATCTATACATACATATTTTTTAGGGAGAAAAAAATAATGTGTTCTTATTCATATTTCCAAGCAAAATTAGGACCACAGAATTTTACTTAACTTTCATATTTTGTAAAAAGCATGTATATGGTTCAAGTCAAAACTCTAATACAAGGCACAGAGAGGTCTTGCTTAGGCCTCTGTTTCCTACCATCTTATTTCCTCCTCTTTCACAGAAACTATTCTGGTTAATTTTTGTTTCATTTTTTTATTGTTTCTTTTTGAAAATATAAGGAGATGTGTATATATTTGTCTACTCCTTCTTACACAAAAGGTGGTAACATACTATAAATACTGTTTTCCACCCGTTCTATTTTTTCCCCCACTTAAAGATATGTTCTGGGGGTCAGCTACTCTATATTAGCACATAATCATCTCCATCTTCTCTTGGAGTAGTTAGAATGCATAATACACCATTGTGTAGCTATATCATAGTTTATTCAACTAATGCCCCACTGATGGACATTTTTTATTTCCTGTCTTTTGCTACTGCAAATAATGCTTCAATTAATCACCTTTTACATAAATCATTTCATATTTTTGCAGGTGTGTTTGGGGGTTCAGGGATCTGCATTTTATTTTATTTTTTAATGTTTATTTTTGAGAGAGAGAGAGTGGGGGAGGGGCAGAAAGAGAGACAGACAGACAGACAGACAGAGGTTCCTAAGCAGACTCTGTGCTGAGAGCAGAGAAGAGAGCCTGCTGTGGGTCTCAAACTACGAATTAGGTTATCATGACCTGAGCAAAAGTCCTGACGCTTAACCGACTGAGCCACCCAGTCGCTCCCAGGGATCTGCATTTTAAACAAGAATCCTAATGATTCTGATGCAGGTGATTTAGATCTACACGTTGAGAAACACTAGTATAGAGCAGTGTTTTTCAGTTGTGGGTGGGGACCCATTAATGAGTCACGAAATCAGTTTAGTGGCTTGAATTCGAATTTTTTAAAAAATAAAGTAGAACAGAAGTGAATTGAAAATATCAGTACACACTATAATAAGAGTAAGGGATATTTCTTTAAAAAATTTTTTTCATGTTTTTTATTTTTGAGAGAAGGAGAGACAGAGGGTGCGTGGGCAAGGGGCAGAGAGAGAGGGAGACACAGACTCCCAAGCAGGCTCCAGGCTCTGAGCTGTCAGCACAGACTCGGGGCTCAAACTCATGAACCATGAGATCATGACCTGAGCCAAAGTCAGACAATTAACTGACTGAATCACCCAAGCGCCCCTCTAGATTCTACTTTTAAATCCTGTTTTCTTTTTTTAAAAATTTTTAACGTTTATTTAGTTTTGAGAGACAGCACAAGCAGGAGAGGGGCAGAGAGAGAGAGGGAGACACAGAATCCAAAGCAGGCTCCAGATTCTGAGCTGTCAGCACAGAGCCCAATGTGGGGCTCAAACCCCCAAACTGTGACATCATGACCTAAGCCAAAGTTGGATGCTAAACCGACCTAGCCACCCAGGACCTCAAGAGATATTTCTTTAAACTTTTGTTTCAGAAAAGTATGTGTATAAGTCTGAACTGGATCATGACATATAATGTGTTTGTTACTCTGGATTATAGTCCAAAAAAGTTCAAACAATTGTTGGGGGAGTAGATTGTCAGTAAACAGATAAACTACTATTAGCTAGAATATTAGGGAAGACTTTAGGGTAGCAATGGTATCTGAACTTAGCCTTATAGAATGTGAATAGGCACCAAGAACATAGGTTGCTTTTCATAAGCGTAAAGTGTACATGGGGTATTAGAAGGGAAGAATACCGGGGTGCCTGGGTGGCTCAGTCGGTTGAGCGTCCGACTTCAGCTCAGGTCACGATCTCGGGGTCTGTGAGTTCGAGCCCCGCGTCGGGCTCTGGGCTGATGGCTCAGAGCCTGGAGCCTGCTTCCAATTCTGTGTCTCCCTCTCTCTCTGCCCCTCCCCCGTTCATGCTCTGTCTCTCTCTGTCTCAAAAATAAATAAACGTTAAAAAAAAAAATTTAAAAAAAATTAAAAAAAAAGAAGGGAAGAATGCCAAAAGTAAAGCCAGGAAAGCAAAAATGTATATAGTCTGTAAACAGGTCTCCTACCTGGCTAGAGCAGAAATGGGAAGTTGTCACTGACACTAACCATCATTCTCTTTCAAAAGCCAAAGGTTTATTGTTAGGTAACTAAAAAGTTTTAATTATTTTCTTTTCACTTAAATTAGGCTTTGAAACATCTGTTTACCAGTCACAGCACTGGTATTGGAAGAAAAGGATGTCGATTAACAACAGAAGATCTTGAGGCTTATATTTATGTCTTCTCCCAGCCTGGAGCATTAAATGGTCCAATTAACCATTACCGAAATATCTTCAGGTCAGTATAATTTCTTTTTAGTTAAATAAAATATTCATTCCCTAAAGAGCCAATATTTTATTTATTTATTTTTCACAAATATTACTTAAATTCCAGCTATTTAGGGGCACCTGGGTGGCTCAGTTGGTTAAGCCTTCGACTCATGATTTCAGCTCAGGTCATGATCTCAGGGTTCGTGGGATTGAACCCCACATCAGGCTCTGTGCTGTCCATGCTGGTTGGGATTCTCTCAGTCCTCTTTCTAGTCTTTCTCTGCCTCTTCCCTCAGTTGCATGCTTGTATACACATGTGCACACACCCTCTGTGTCTCTCTCAAAATAAATAAACATTAAAAAAATTCTAGCTAGTTAACATACAGTGTAATATTAGTCTCAGGTGTAGAATTTAGTGATTCATCACTTACATACAACACCCAGTGCTCATCATAAGTGCCCTTCTAAATACCCATCACCTATTTAACCCGTTCCCCCACACACCTTCCCCCCAGTAACCCTCAGTTTGTTCTCTACAGTTAAGCATCTGTTTCTTGGTTTGGCTCTCTTTTCTCCCCCTCCAAGTTCATTTGTTTTGTTTCTTAAATTCCACATAAGAGTGAAATCAGATGACATTTGTTTTTCTATGACTGATTTTGCTTAGCATAATACTCTCGAGCTCTAGCCACATTGTTGCAAATGGCAAGATTTTGTTCTTTTTTATGGCTGAGTAATATTCCATTGTATGTATATATACCACATCTTTATCCATTCAACAGTCAATGTTTGAATGTTCAGTCAATGTTTCAGTTCTTTCCATAATTTGGCTATTGTTGAAATTAACAACAGGTGTCGGTGAGGATGTGCAGAAAGGGGAACCCTCTTACGCTGTTGGTAGGAATGCAAACTTGGTGCAGCCACTCTGGAAAACAGTATGGACTTTCCTCAGAAAGTTAAAAATAGAACTACTTTACAATCCACAAATTGCACTATTAGGTATTTTCCCAAAGGATACAAAAATACTAATTTGAAGGGATACATGCACCCTGATGTTTATAGCAACATTATAAACAACAGCCAATATTTTATTATTATTTTTTTAGTTTATTTGTTTGTTTTGAGAGAGAGACCACAGGCAGGGGAGGAGCAGAGAGGGAGAGAGAGAATCCCAAGCAGGCTCTGAGCTGTCAGTGCAGAGCCCAATGTAGGGCTCAATCTCACAAACCATGAGATCATGACCTGAGCTGAAACCAAGAGTTGGATGCTTAACTGGCTGAACCACTCAGGAGCCCCGTCAATATTTTGTTTTTAAGATTAAGTTCACAGTTTATCCAAAGACTCAAAAGTGTTCATTTTGTAAGTTACATAGTCTTTTTCTAGGGAAAACTTTAAACATATGGAAAAGTAGAGAGAAGAATATAATGGAATCCCCATATAGTTGTCACTTGTTTTATCCATAACTATATCCACTTCTTATTTACCTTTGGATTATTGTGAATAGATGTATGTTTGTAATCATATTTTTAATGATTATTATTCATTCAAGAAATACATATTAAGTACTTTGTATGTTCTAGTCTATGCCAACACTCAGGATATAGTATTGAACAAAACGAGACAAAGGTCCCTGATCACTAGCCAAGTGGGGAAAACAGACATCAACTGTATAACCACAGTAATGAATATCCGGTTATAAACAAACAAAGACCATGATAGAAAGGGATGAGAACTGAGCAAATGATGTTTGAACAGAGAAATAGAGGATGAGTTACATATTGACTGAATAAAGTTGGGGTTAGAGGGATTGGCATTTCAGGAAAAGGAAACAGCATGTACCAAAGCAGTGTGGGAAGATAAGAGAGTTGTGGTTTTAAATAATACAGTGAAGGCCATTGTAGCTAGAGCACAGAAAAAGAAAATAAAATGAGAATGGGTCCAAGAGAAGGCAGTGGCTGGTCTTACAGAGCCACGTAGACCATATTAAGTACTTAAGACCCATGAATGTAAAGCTGGTAAATGAGCATTTCAAGCAGGAAAGAGTAACAATCTAATCTGTATTTGTATACATTCATTCAATGTGAGGAAACTGCAGTGGTCCAGGCTAAAGATGATGGTAGCCTGAAATAGCCTGAAGGCAGTGGAGATGGGGAGAATGGGTAGATTTAAGAGATATTTAAGAGGAAAATTGACAGGGATTGGTGATGGGTTAGATGGGCGGGGGTGGAGGGTCGGGGAAGGAATGAGAAGAGGGGTATCAAGGATGGCTCCTAAATTTTTGGCTTGAACAGCTATATGGATATAGCTCATGCCATTCACTGAGGCAGAAAACACTAGAAGAGAACTGGTTTTGAGGAGAAGGTCATAAACTTTATTGACCTTAAACTAGTTGAGTTTGATGTGGTATCTTAGATATTCAAATAGGCAGATAGATACAAGGGTTTGGAATTCAAAGGAGAGAATCTGTGATGAAGTTATGTAAAATCTTGGTGTCGCTGATACACACAAATGAAGCTTTTGCTCAGAGTATATTGTCTAGGGAGAAAGTATAGAATGGAAGACAAGATATGGAGATTTGTCTGTTGAGGTTTGGACTCTAGACAGGAGAAAAAGATTTTCCTTGGGAATTAGCCACCACAGCCTGCCTTGAAAAGGTTTAGAGCCTTGAATATATACTACCTCCATAACACTAGAATCTCAGGGAAATATATTTCAATATCATCATAAGCTGGTAACACTTCCAAGCAAGCCTGGTAGAAACAAAGACAGAATTTCTCTGGAGGATACATCTCAACTCAGACTTACAATATTCCCACAGGTAGAGTCCCCTGAAGATGAGTTCATAATCCAAATTACAAAAAATACTAATCCACCATTAATGAGTCAGAATACAGTTGCAGTAGAACTCTTACAAGTTTCAAATACTACAACAGAGATTATAAAGTATGTTTAAATCATTAAATATGTGAAAGAATAAAAATTATGAGAAAAGAATAAGGAAATATCAAGACAGACTGGAAAAAGCTGAAAAAGAACAAAAGAACTTCTGGAAATGAAAAATACGGCTATTGAAATCTAAAATTCCGTAAGTGAGTTAAATAGCAGATCAGACAAGCTAAAAAGAATTATGAATTAGAAGATAGCTCTGAAAAAATTACTTAGAATATAGCTTAGAGAGATAAAGAAGTGAAAATATAAAATGTTATATTTGATATAGAGGGTAAAATTAGAAATCATATATTGGGGTGCCTGGGTGGCTCAGTTGGTTAAGCATCTGACTTTGGTTCATGGTTTGTGAGTTCAAGCCCCACATTAAGCTCTATGCTGAAAGTATAGAGCCTGCTTGGGATTCTCTCTCTCTCTCTCTCTCTCTCTCTCTCTCTCTCACTCTCCTTGTGCTCTCTCTCTTTCTCTCAAACCAAAAAAATTATATAGATGGGTGATAGATAGAATTAGATACACATACATATATATAGATGCTAAGAATTTTTTTCTAGTAAAATAAAATAATGCAAATAGAATGTATTATTTTCAAACCAGTAGAGGGTGACAAGATAACTATCAATTCAAAAGAAGGCAGGAAAGAGAAAAGGGAAGCAAAGTACAGTCAATAGCATAAAATAAGATGTCAAAATCAATTTAAATATGTCAGTAAGCACAATAAATATGAATGTATTAAACTTTCCAGTTAAAAAATAAAATATCAGATTGGATTGAGTCACAAAGCATAAGGACATAAAAAGTTGATAGTAGGAAGGTAGAAAAAAGTTATAGTGGGTGTTTTATTGGTTGATTAATTGATTTTATTTTTAAGTAATCTTTACATCCAACATGGGGTTTGAACTTAACAATGCCAAGATCAAAAGTTGCATGTTCCACTGACTGAGCCAGCCAGGTGCACCTAAAGAAATTATTTTATTTTATTTTATTTTATTTTATTTTATTTTATTTTATTTTATTTTACTTTATTTTATTTTTTAATGTTTATTTATTTTGGAGAGAGAGTGTGTGTGGGTGGGAGAGGGGCAGAGAGAAAGGGAGAGAGAGAGAACCCCCAGCAGGCTTTATGCTCAGCATGGAGCCTGAAGTGGAGCTTGATCTCATGACCATGAGATCATGACCTGAGCCAAAATCAAGAGTAGAATACTTAATCAACTGTGCCTACCCAGGTGCCCCAAAGGTGTTATTTTAAATAAAACAAAATCAAATTATTTGAATACAAAATCCAAGGGCAGTCAAGAGATTATATAAATGAGGGGAGAAGAGGTAAACCGAAACCTTTTTCTGACTAACAATAACAACAAAAAATTTACAAATATAAATGTAAATACCATCGATAAAACAGAGATGTTAATTTAAAAGGTATTTGTAGGTACCCATTTATCAAGCAAGGCGATGACTGACATTGCAGAGGCTGCAGTTACATCTCATAGGATATAGCAACATTGTCTCAAGTCCATGTTTTGTCATTTGTTGTTTGTTTTTTACAAACAACATTTGTAAAGAAAATTATAAGAGAAAATAGAACAATATATTTTCATACAAGCTTAAATTTTGAACAGGAGATAAAAATAATAGTTTTTAAATGTTGATTTACCTTTTTATCAAAAATCTAGCTTTGTGATACAAAACAATTAGCTACAGGGAAAAAGAGGAAAATATTCTGATGTTTCTCAAGTTATTTTACTAACATTTGTTCATTAGAGGATCTGCATTCTCAAGAGTAAGCTCTAGAATCCTGCTAATTAGCATGGAGAGAGAAAGAGAAAAAAAGCAGGCCTGTGAAGGTCAAAACTTACAATTTTATATAAAGGTGAAAGTTTTAAACTAGATTGCTATAGGTTAAATCTAGCCAGGTCAAGGTCATATGGAATCTTCTGGAAGGTCACTTGACTCCCTCTAATGCTTCTTTATGTTAGGGTAATCGAGCCCAAGTACATAATTAAAAATGGTTATACGATATATAATGACTATACATAAGGTATAGTACATATACTCAGGTATGGAAATCACTGTCATTTATCACCCTTC